CTGCTACCTCTGCATGCTAATAAAATGCACCTTCTCGGGCCCAAAACACAATAAAAACAGAAAACAAAACAAAGCTAAAAAACCTAACACTAATTAACAACAAACTTTTGGAACCGTTTGGCCATCAAAGCTAACAAAGGTGATTGCTGTGCTCTGGGCTCCAAGAAATAAGGTCTTTACCTTATGTCTTTACAGCTGAGTAGTATACTTACTTCATACATATAATCTGAGGTTCAATCCCAGAAAACTAAGATGGAGAGTGACTGAGAACCTTGTCCTACACACACACACACACACACACACACACACACACACACACACAATTACACATCTTCATTAATGTATTTGGTTAATGTGTCTAGTACGTCTGGGATAGATTTGTTTTATTTTCACAATCACCTATCTAGAAACCTAAAAAGGAGTCATATTTCTAACTTGCAAATCCATGAGAAACACATGCATTCCTCAAAAGATAGATTTGCAACTGAATATTTTGGCTTTGATTGTGCTGGAATGGTCAGAGCTAGTGTAGTAAATAAGATTTTTCACACTCCCACTCCACCTGGAGTGAAAGCGCAGAGCACACAAGTTCACAGCCTTTGAGTTACATTGCTGTCATCTCCCAGATCTTGACACAGCATTGGCACAAGAAAACCGTTTCCTGCCTGGCAACGTCAAACATGAACACTTGAAAAATCACATAAAATACACGATGTGATATTTTCTTGGAAAACTCTCCTAATAAACTTTTGAATGAGATCCCCAGAAGCTTACAAGCAAGCAAAATCCAGGTTATTTTCTAGGATATGAAGATGCCTTTTTCACTGTGTGAAACTAAGACTGAGTGGAACACAATCTACAGAGCATTTAGTTAGAAGGGGGAATGAGTTTTCTTCTCAACCCTGAGAAAACTGAAATTGGGGGCTATATTCTCTTCAAAACAGAGAGCTGGAGTCAAGGGGTGGTTTGTGATTATGAAAGAAGGGGGTTGTGTCTGACCTAGGCAGAGTCTTCATGAACTTTCTTTCATTTCACTTTGGTGACCCCTGACTATATTGTGAAAGACAAGCATGGGCTGACTCCTGGCCCCCAGCTCATTTTACATTTAGTACAATGATAAAGTCATATCTGTTTTTTGTTCCAACAAGTGGAACTTCTGGTGAACAGAGAAAAGTAAAGATGAATGTCCATATTTTGAGCCTAACATACAGGCTTGAGGAAGCTTCAAACTTACTCTGATGTATGTATCTCTCTCTCCAAAAATCTTCTAAAGAAGGATTCTTAACAAATTTTGAGATTAAAAAGCATTCTCTAAGTCTCCCAGTCAGCACTTACCTTTTTTTTTTTTATTGAATGTTATCTTTTTTGTCAAAATGTCTAGCTTAATAGAATGATAGCCAGTTGTCAAAGACTAATTCAGTTGTATGTTGGCCATTCATCTTCCAATAAATACCATCACAGCCTCTTTCCCAGGACTCTAGCAAGGACTGCTGCTTGGGCTTTCAAGTAGTCTGTGGAGTAGGTGATGAACATTCATGTTGGCCTAAGAACCCAGCTGGATGCTGCTCCTGAACTCCACCCTTATCTACACACTTTGAACATCTTTTGCCCACATTGCCATTTGACAGCTGTGTTTTTTCCAAACCTACAGATGTTCAGCTGTCTTGATTCATTCATTCAAGCAAAATAACAGGAGTTGGCGATCTCAACTCATGCACTTGACCTTGTTCTTCATTTCTAGCAGCAAGTGCATCATGATTGCACCTGTTGAAGACACTCTCATGTCTCTTGTAAGGAAACTAAAGACCAAACTGCATGACTTGACATTCCAAAGGAAAGTGATTGATGGTCTATTGAGCAAGGTTACAAGAACAAAGACCACAGTCAATGATTCACCATTGGGGCTCTTAAGAAAAATGTGATGGTCCTGCTTCATGGGACACTGGGGTTTGATGTCTGCTTGGGCCAACTTGGTGTCTACATAAATGATCAAAGCTGATGGCAAAAACAGACAGGGCAATAACTGGATAACTGAGTGGGTAGTGGTACACAGGTGTGGTACTCAGAGGCAAAGAAGATATAAACAGAGTACCCATTAGCTCTTGCTTACTCAAGAGGTAAGGAACCACCTGCACTGTCTTCTAGCATTGGGGTTTGCTGGCTCAGGCTCTGTGTGACCCTAGAATCTTCTAAGGAAATAGACATAAGTGGATGGTCTCAGAATCAGTGAGACAATAAAGCCTGCCATCAGTGTATCTGTATTTAGCAGCCTCTGTGATGGTGGTGGAGTTCTACCTCACAGAAAGGGCTGCTGAGAAGCAGGCTTCCATGAAGCTAGTTGCTATCCTAGATCCATTCAAGGAGGCACAAGTGCAAGATGCAGATAGGAAGTGAACTGGGATTCCTGGGGTGGGAAAGGCTTGGAAACTCTTGATAAAAGTTCATCCTGTTCAAAAGATGAGCATTAGCTTGCAGCCCAGCCAGTAAAATGGTTTGCCAGCTATTCTAGATATCACCTGAACGTGTCTTTCTTCCCAGACAATGAGCAAGGTTTTGGAAAGAGAAGACTATATTATTTTCTTCTTCTCTGCACCCCTGGAACTCCCTGTCGACTGTCTGTGGGGGGATGTAATAATAAGCTCAACAACAGCAGCTCTTGTCCTCATTAACGCAGTTTCTATCCTTCTAAGTCACTTCTCAAAAGAGCTACAGTGAAAGAGAAACAAAGCCAGAGGTTGCAGCATGTCCTCTGTCACCTCTGCAGTGGGTGTGAAGAAGGTCTTTCTCCCCACCCTATGAAGTAGCAGGGTAGACAGTAGAGGTCTCAGGGCTACCCAATCCCTGCTGGATAAAGAGAAGACAACAGGAAAAAGGGGTGGAAAAAAGGAGAATATGATGCCTGATTTCCCTAGTCCTTTTTTCTTCTACGAAGCCTTCCTTTTGGAAGCCACAAAGTGATCAGCTAGTGGGCCACATGTGAATATCAGTTTATTTCCTCACTGTGAGGGGCCTTAAGAATTTCAGCTGGCCAAACTTATTTTTAAGTCTGGGCTGGAGGTGCCCTTTCATAGTTAACTGTGCCCTTCTACCAGCTATGAACAGTCCCAGGAGGTATCTTTATGAATTGTACAAGAACAGACTTTCCCCGAAGTTGTTTCGTTTTGGAGAGGTCTACCTTCAAATTGATTAGTTATATGGTAAAGTAACATATTGACTATATGAGAAAAATGCCCCTTAAACATGAGAACAAAATGGGACTATTAGGGAAGTAGGAAGACAAGAATGTAAGTCTTGTGTGTGTTTGTGTGTGTGACAAGAACAAATATGCACAAAAGTGCTAAAAATAAACCCATTGCCCTGCATACAAACTCACAGGCAAAGGAGATTAAGAGTAAAACTATCATTTTCAAAAAATGGGGGGGGCACATTAGCAACCAGGTTCCTAAGGGAGTCATAGCAGTTTTATTGGCAACAAATCACTCACTAACAGCAAATGATCAAAAGCAGAAGGCTTCGGCAAAAGGAAAGCCTGACTACCACCAGTCCAAGAAGCCCTAGGACAGCTTGTTCCAAACTAATTATAAAAGTGACAGGGTGATTTATTTACAGGTTCCATTTGCTCTGAGTGGTCCAAGCACATGTTTCACTATGTTATCACCCCACTCTCCTGAGTCATTAAAAACACCCAAGGAACGTGAAAGCCTTGCTTTCCAAACTGCATCTTCTAGGCTGTTTCTCATTTGGGAAAGGAACACATAAAGTTCTCAATTCTGGCTTCGAAATATTCTCTTCAGTTGTTAAACCCATTTTGAAGTTTTCCTAAAAATGTAACTTAGTGACGATCACATGTAACAGTGTTGTGCACATCTTTGTTTTGAAAGAAGGCCAGCCTTTAGCCACAGGTGTCCATGGGAACAATTAGATTTCAAAAACAGCACCAAATATGTAGAACAGCTCATTTTTAATAGTCATAAATGAATTATGACTATTATTTATTCATTCATTGTAATGCTCTCTATATATATAACTTGAAGTTTTGAAACTGTTGCTAATTAGACATTTTACAATTAGGAGTTAGTGAGATGGCTCAGAGGTTAAGAGGGCTTGTTGTTTTTCCAGAAAGCCCAGTTGGTCACCAGTACTTACTTATGGAGGCTCACTGATGCCTATAAATCCAGGCCCAGGAGGTCTGATGCCCTTCTCTGGCCTCTGTAGACATCCTCATGCATGTCACCAGCACTTGTGCATACACACACACACACACACACACACTTTTTTTTTCCAATTTACAACTATATGACAACCAATGTATTTGTACCAGATAGCACTGTGCAAGAAACTGTACATTTGACTTGGTATCAATCTTGCATTTTTGCTAGCATATTGGGAGGGTTTTTAATTTAGTGAAACCACACTTTCCCTACGAAATTACTTCTGTAGTTGAGACACCACTCTGGCTCAAGGAAAACTCACTGTCACCCTTCTATGTGGAATGTTGGCATTGCTGCTAATTAATACTTGCTACAACCTGGGAAGCCTATCTCTCTTCCTAACACTCCCGAAAAACACATTTTTTAGAAAGTTATGTTTCTGGCCTTCTCTACCCATCTATCCCCTGAAGAATTTAGACTATATAATCTCAAGATCCTTAACCACTCTCCCACCCTTATTCTATAAATCCAAGCCCTCCCAGTTCATACAACTTGGAGACATGTCAGGGATATTAACCAATTATGTTGCTGGCCAAAGAAGACACTTCAAAATGGGTTTGGGGGAAGACACCATTATCCCACTTCAGAATGTTAAAGATAAAGGAATTGGCTTGAACTATCAGCTAAAACATCCCTGATGGCTCTGTTTAAGAGGCGTGCTACATCTGGGATTTGCTAACTTGAGTCAGAGAAGACTTTCTATTTCCTCCCAATGACTTCCTGAAGTCATTTTTCACAAGGTTCCAACTTTCTAAGATGTTGTGCCATAAATGCCTTTGCTGTCAGCAGGCAGGAACCCTGCCAACGCTGGCCTTCCTGAGACATTCCACTGGTTCTCCCCTACTCCTGGATCACTGAGGGTGATGGACGATAACCATCCTTTGGGGAGATACAAGCCCACTTTGATCAGGTACAAGGTAAGCCTCAGGGCCCTTGAGAAACATGCAGTTAGACACTGTTCATATAGTGTTACTGAGAACAGAATCATGGGGAGTGAAGACTGGTGACGGATCAATACACACCAAATAGAAGGCAGAGCTGCTAAGATGATACACTGAGGAGGGGGTGTGTCTTTCTGATAGCATGCACACAGGATATGGGAAACAAGTCTTCAGTAGGCAGCCTTGCATCATGCTGTTTTGACCATGTATTATCTCCTCTTCCCCTTTTCATTTGTACTTTTCCAGTTGTCATTGCTTTTCTTCTCACATTTAAGTACTTCTTTTCAAGTTAACATTAAATGTTATTGGTTTCATTAAAGTGCTTCCATACACATAGGTTACCATTATCTTTAAAGGTGCTATTTTAATTTTGTGGATATGGGTATTCTGCCTGGATGGAGGTCTGTACACCACTTGCATGCCTGGTGCCTGTGGAGGCCAGTGAATCAGATTCCTCCAAATGGGAGTTTCAGGCAGTTGTGACCCACTGTGTGGGTGCTGGGAATAGAACTCGGATCCTGTGGAAGAGCAGCCAGTGCTGAGCCACCTCTCCAGGCCATAAATACTGTGTTTTAAAGCAGACTTGCTTGTTTAATTGAGCAGACCAAAAAAAAAAAAAAAAAGAGAGAAAAAGAAAAAGAATCAACTGGTTTTCAAAGTGAGAAAAAACCTAATACTATCACCCGTAGATAGTATGTGTGGAAGATATTTGAACCTTAAATGGTTGGAGGGAAAAAAACAGGCCCCAAAAGTCCAAGTTTGCATCTAGACAATTGCCAGATGAATTTCTAGATATTACATAACAAGGATGAGGACACAGCAAACAAGAACATTGCACAGAACCATGTTGCTTTGTGCACCATGAGGCCTTCGGTGGAGTCCTTTGCTCACTGCTTACTCTGTCATATATAGAAAACTGGGGAATGAAGAAATTCTGACCATGCCTCCAGTACTCTCCTAGCCAAGCAGTATATGTTAGACAAGTAAATTAAGTCTAAACTATGACTTCTAGACCTTCCTTACTTTGTACTCTAGCAGGACATTGCATCTCATGTTTCCATTTCTGGCCTGATGATCATAAACAGACAGCAAGAGGGAAGAAATACTTGTTACTTGCACAAAGGCAGGAAAGGCCTTCGTAACATCATGGGCTACCATCAAATGCCACTATTATCTATCAGTAACCAGTATTATATACTCGAGCGTGTCAGTTTCTTAGTCCATGTGTGGCCTCAGAGTGCTGGAGACCATCCAGACCCTGCATTTTGACAGAGTTTTCAAACAAACTGTTCTTATGGTAAAAGATCCAAATCAGTACCACTTCAGCTATGGCCTCTGGTGAGTACACACACACACACACACACACACACACACACACACACACCTCCTACATAGCTAATAGCTGTTCCTGTATTTGGCAATTAGATTCATGCAATTGTTAGCAGTCCAAACACCTATTCTGTGTATGAAAATGTAAGTTTCTTATGGGGATGGGGAAAAATGCTTTTTCACATATTTTAATTCTTCCTTCATCCCGGCAGCAAATTGTAGCATAACACCTTTGCTGGATCCGTATCAAGAAATAGCTATTGATTTAAAGAACAAAACAACAATACTAAGCTATTCCTTTAACTCCGTGCTGCCTTGCCCACTGAAGGCTGTTGTGTGCTCTCGGGGTCTGTAGAACTGTGTTTTGGAGAAGGTACCATCTGCTCCTGTGATTTTACAGCCTCTTTCAGCAAATGGGGAAAGCAGGTAGGGAATGCAGAAATAAAATTTCTCCAGCTGAAACACTGACACAGCGCAAGCATGTTCTGAAGAAATGGCCTTTATTGATGTGCCCGGGCTGAAGTGGAACAATTCCAGGTACGCCTTGTCTTGCCCTCGTGTCTTCCCTCTGGATAAAATCCATATGAAAAGAGAGCATTTCCACTGAACTCTGGTTTCCTGGAATCATCCTGCAGCCCTTGATCTTCCAGCTGAGTGAAATGGAGGAAACTTAGCTCAGCGTGAGCTGCTCGCCAGGCCACTCATGCTGGGAGTCCGTGAAGAAAAGGTAACACTTTCCTGTGAACGCATTTATCCTGTTATTTGCTCACCTGCACATTACTTGGGGAAGATCTAGGATTCCTATACACACATAAAGTGTTCAGAAAATACATTTTAAAAAGAATTCTGTCTCGTCAAAATGAATCTCTTTCGATTAATTTTTCCCTCCCACAGTGCCCTGAGGTCTTCAAGTCGGTCTTGTTAGGTCTGTATCAAATGTTAACTCTCAGAGGAAAAACTTATCAAGGCTATCCTCACCACAAATATATATTTATGAATTCTCTTGTTCTCTGGAGCCAAAGCCACTGAGTTTAAACATTTTTTCAACAAATTAGCACTAGTGAGTCCTTGTCAGTAATACTTAATTTCTTCAGGGTCCAGTGTCCTAACCTACAAAATGTTAAATAAGGACGCTCAGCTCATGGGCATTTTGAGCACTTTGTTCCTAGCAATTGCACGTGAGGATTTAGCAGATCTTTGAATCCATGTTCTGTGGGATTCCTATTACCTTGAAACCACTGTTTTATTGACAAAACAAAGAATCTTAAAATTCTACATGTGATTTTACTTGTGGTAGAGACTCACAAAAGACGTGAAACACTTTGAGATGAGGAACCAGATCACTTTTAGATATGCAGTATACGGAGAGAACATTAAGAATCAACTTTCTAGACTTCTGGTTCATCTTTGTATCAGGGAACCACTGCCAGGCCTCTCAGGCCTGCATTCCACTATGTGTCAAGAAACCCAGATGAGTAAACTACTCCCTGACCCAGAAAAAAGTGGGATATAGTCACACTTGGCCAGCAAGCAAGGACTATTTGACCTGTGCTGTCTGCCAAGTTGCAGCCTTATACCATTGCAGTTTCTCTCCTCCCAAAATGGCAGGCAGCTTGGGGCACAGGTGCAGAAAATCATATCACACTCAACAACCTCACCTGATGTATTTGGATCTGCTTTCTTCCCGAGGAATTCTCTGGGAAAGGTGTGGAGGGTGTCGGAGTTCATCTGAGAACCTTTTGAAGAAGGATCTCAAACTCATTCTCGTTTGAACACCTTGTTATCACCATAGAGAATCTTACTGTGTAAACCATTTCCAGCTGCCTTTGGAGAAAGTACACGGTCCGTCCCGACAACTGTTCATGGGTTACTGTAGCCTGTTAATAGGGCTTGGGTTTCATTACTACAAGAAAGCAACAGAGCCTCCGAGTTCCCCCCAGTTTGTGAATTCAGTTCCTTTGAAGTCAGCTAAGATCATTCCTCCCACTTTTTTCCGTTTGTTTCTTTGCTTCTCTCTGATCCCCACCCCCACCCCTCTCCCCGAATCATTTTTAAACAATCAGGCACACAAGTGTCACCCTGGTATCTGAATTCAGAATCTGGAAGGATCTTTATTCTGGGAAACACGTAGGCTGCGCATTCCTGAAACGGAATCAACAAAACCTGTGCGCTCCCAGGTGGGAAGAGGTAATTGCAGGTGTAAAGCGGCGATGGAGGGAGAACAGTTTTCTGCATGTAATAAGCAAGCTGCAGTCGAAGCTTCGGTGAGGCTCCTTGGACGTCTTTTCACTTGAATTCATTTGCATTTCTTCAGCATAAGATGTCACAACGAAGCACGCTCTGTATATTCCACCAGGCTCATCAGTCTATGACAGGAATGTTACTACCCTCAGCTAGTCTTAGTAACTTATTGGGGTGTGTGTGTGTGTGTGTGTGTGTGTGTGTGTGTGTGTGTGTGTGTACTCACCAGAGGCCATAGCTGAAGTGGTACTGATTTGGATCTTTTACCATAAGAACAGTTTGTTTGAAAACTCTGTCAAAATGCAGGGTCTGGATGGTCTCCAGCACTCTGAGGCCACACATGGACTAAGAAACTGACAGTCAAGTGAGAGTAGCCAATATCCCCATTGGAATGATGGTGGGCTTGACCCCGCTCACACAAGTGCTATAGACCCTCTGCAGAATTTCTTCTTTCTCTTGCCTTTCTCTTTTTTCTCTTCTTGTCCTCCATCTTTTACCTAGAAAACAAAACTATCCAACTTCCACTTTCTTTTTTGCTCAGTGACTGAAGAATGTAAAAAATATTTTTGTGGAGTGTTCAGGCTAAAACTGTCAGGGTTTGCACTCTCTGCTCTGCCTCCAGAGTCTGTGGTTTGTTTATCCCATGCACAGAAGGCACCTTGAGTCCTTCAGGACATGGGCTGCCAGAGGTTAGGAATGTCAAGCCAGGTCATGAAATTTCCTCATGAGACCTCGTAAGTGTATTTTGCTTCAGACATGTGACGGGGAACTCTACTGAAACCACATTTAAAACACATTATGAACGGCTGCATTAGTTCCCTATTACTGCTGTAAGAAATCATATTAACCATGAAGTTTAAAACAACACATGTTGATTGTTTGCACGATAAAAGTCAGAAGGCCAGAGTGAGGCTTAGTTGGTTAAACCTGAGGGCCCAGCAGGATTCATTGCTCTGTTTCCCTGAATTTTCCAGTTTCTGGGAGCCATCTACATAGCGTGGCTCCCAACTACTTCATAGTTAAAACAATAAGCACTTTGAATCTCTCTATGATTCCCTTTTGGAATTCTTTTACTTTCCAGGGTCTTTTTGTGACTACGCTGGCCCCCATCTTGCAAGAGAATCTTCCATATTAGCATCAGCTAATAAGCAAATGATGCTATTTGCAGTTAGTGTCTCTTTTCCATGTCACAATATAGCCACAGGCACTGGTGACCAGAGTCTGGGCATCTTTGGGAATTCTTCATTATGCTTTCAAAAGAGAAAAGAGAATAGATAACTAGGGATTGTAAACATATATAAAATGGAGACATCCATACAGAGAATGGCCATGAAGCAAAGAATCTGCAACCAGAGCTCAATCCAGGCTAACGGGTATGAAGAAAATGAAATAACACAACGAGAGAAAGCAAGAGCATATACTGGAATTTTAAGTCTTAGAGGTCAGATGGCTATGAAACATGGAGAAATGCTGACAGAGCTCAGGAACCACTTAGAAAGCAAGAAATGAAAGCACCAAAAGGGGAAGAAGCAGAAGCTCACTCCACCCCAGCATTTCTCACACCCGAATTCTCAGGATGCGCCAAACTCTCACAGGCACCGTTCCTCACCAGCATACCCCTCTACCAGGCACTGCGAGGTCACATCTGTCCTGTAAAACCTCATGGCATGTTTTGTTCTTCAGAGCCTGGAGTTTGTAAGCTGCTTGTGGAGGCAGGAGAAGAGTGGAAATACTGTCTTCTCTGGTCTGCTATGCTACTGAGGCTATCTGGCTCCTGGTCTCTCCTCCATTCACCTTTATCAGCTCTAGGGTTGCTGTCATACACTACTCATTTTTCTGTCACACCTTTGAGGAAAGGAGTATTTTCTGTCAGCTTAGGAGAAGGACAGTGCTGGCTTGCCACCATGCTTCAAGGACATGTAGAATATTTTGGCAAATGTTGGGTTGCATGGAACTGCATACACAAGTGCACTGTAGATATTAAATCACCATTAAATGTGAAGGACTTACTGGTGAGCAAATGTGGAGAGCCAGCAGCCTAATTTACAGGTAGCTAGAGATGTGACCTCTGC